TAAGAATAGATTACTTTTATACCTAGAATAATTTCCCCATAGTCTAAGCGCACTGATCAATGGCATTCAGCAAACCCCGTGTTTTCAGTTTAATCTTTTCCAAGGTGAACATTTTAAAAATAAGCTTACTTTTCTAAATACATTGTTACATTAAAGATTTAGAGAATGTTGAAAAATAGAAGAAAAAATTAGCCAGTAGGCTATAAGATACCTTTGAACAAATAATTTTCATTATAATAAGTTTCTGTTGAATAAATGTATACACATGCACACACACAAATGTGTGTCTGTGTATCCATATATCAAATATATGTTTGAATAGTTGTTACAACACTGGACATAATCTTTGATATACTATATCACTTAACATAAAACAGTATATGCATTTCACGATGACATTAAGAATTTATTAGTAAACATCATTTATTGTTCATGTGTATTACAGTTGAGTATATAAGAAATGAAATTACTAGTGACAACCACCGTTAAAATTTTGGTGTATTTTTCAAAATATTTCCCCCCATGCAAATTATATTTTCATAATTCAAATGCTATTCTGCTACATATAAGATAGTCTAACCTTTTTTAAGTTGAAAATGTAGAGAGAACATTCTTCTCTATCAAGGAATTTTCCATTTATAGCATATTATTTTTACTTTTAAATGAGTTTTGTTTTTTTGGTATAGTTTTAGGTATACCCCATACCCAATTTTATCTATTACTAATATTTTACATTAGTATAGTACATTTATTACAATTGATGAACTGGTATGGATACATCATTATTAACTCCAGTCCATAATTTATTCAGTTGTTATTATTATTATTTTTTTTTTGAGACAGAGTGTCACTCTGTTGCCCAGACTAGTGCCATGGCATCAGCCTAGCTCACAGCAAACTTAAACTCCTGGGCTCAAGCAATCTTCCTGCCTCAGCCTCCCGAGTACCTGGGACTACAAGCATGTGCCACCATGCCTGGCTAATATTTTTTCTATATATTTTTAATTGTCTGGCTAATTTCTTTCTATCTTTAGTGGAGACATGGTCTTGCTCTTGCTCAGGCTGGTTTTGAACTCTTGACCTTGAGGAAGCTGCCCACCGAGGCATCCCAGAGTGCTAGAATTAAAAGCGTGAGCCACTGTGCCTGGCCATCAGTTGTTATTTTTTATTTGTTTTTACCTAATATCCTCCTTCGGATCTTCTGATCCAGGATCCTACCCAGGGTACCATGTTACATTTAATTGTCATGTCTCCTTAGGTTCCTTTGGGCTGTGATAGTTTCTGGTACTTTGCTTGTTTTTGATGACCTTGACATTTCTGAGGGATTGTAGCCATGCATTTTGCAGTGTTCCTTTATTGGGATTGGTCTCATGTTTTGCTCATGATTAGACTGGAATTATGGGTTTTTGGTGGAAGATCACTGAAGTAAACTACCATTTTTATCACACCATATCAAGGTTACATACTATCAACCTGACTTATCACTGTTGACCTTAATCACCTGGCTAAGGTAGATTTCCCACTGTCAGATTTCCCGCCGAAAAATTACTCTTTTAATTCCCTTTTTCCATACTGTGCTCTTTGGAAGGAAGTCACTATGCTCAGCCCACACTTCAGAAGTGAGAACTTAAATAGTGCAATTGTTAATAACTGCATCTTATTCTGTCCTGTAGATGTGACATAATTTACTTAAGCAATCTCCTTTTACTGAACATCTCAATTGTTTCTTTTTTTTTTTACTAGTATAAATGATACATCAATGGACAACCTTTTATACAGATCTTTAAATACTTATCCAACTTTTATATTAACTACTAGAAGTAGGATTGCGAGATTAAAGTATATATGCATTTCTAGGATGTTTTGTACTTATTGCTAAATTGCTTTCCAAAGACATGGTAGCACTGTTCACTATCAATATCAATTTAGAGTTATGGCTATTTAATCACGATTTTCATCTCTTTTATCTAATGCACTTAATTTTCATCTCTTTTATCTATTGCAATTTTGTCTATTATACATATATGATGAACATCTTCTTGCACAAAGCCCCTTTTCCTTCTTTAGGATAAATTCCCTGGAGAAAGATTACTATGTCATCTAAAAAAGATTGAAATTGAATTATTTGAATACCTATAGGGAAGCTTGCTGAGTATGATAGAAAACCTAGATTCAATCATTCCTTTGCTTGGACAGGGCTTTACAGAGACCTGACTGGTGAAGGGCTTCCCATTCTTTGTACTGTCATGATCATTACTGTCTGACACTGTTTCTTCATAGTGTGTCTCATCTGTCAGATCTTACCTTGTACCAGTGGTAGCATGGGTCCTAGTAATCTGTTTTAAAAAGAAGAGCTCAAACTTTCTTCCTTTGAGTCTTGTGGGGTTGGAGTGGGGTTGTTGGTTTGGTTCCTTGCCCAGGTTGCTTTCAGATGCAGCCCTCATGTTTCTGCTCTTCTGCTCTGTGACACAGGAACTGTCTCTGGATGACTCCCCTGCTCCTCTCTTGCCTCCAGCACTCACCTAAAAGGCCAGATAAGGTTTCAGATCCTTTCAGGTGACCTGGGATTCTGGAAACATTCCCTACGGCTCAAAACTCCAGTTAGGTGTGGCAGCAGATTCCTGCTATTGCTCCTCTCTGGATTGCTTCCCTTTTCCCTCTTTAGCTTCTCTCATGGAATCAGTTTCCTGTCATAAACTCCTTCTATTTTAAAATATTTGCAGGGCTCCTAGGTTTTGAGGGGGACACTGACTAATACACTTTAGGGTATTGCACTAGTTTACTATGGCTGCCATAACAAAGTACCACAAGCTGATGGCAACAAAGAACAAAAATTATTCCCTCATTGTTCTGGAAGCCAGGAGCCTGAAATCAAGATATCAGCAGAGTTGGTTCCTTCTGGAGGCATCTGAGGGAGTCTGTTCCATGCTTCTCCTGCCTTCTAGGGATAGCCAACATTCCTTGGCACTCTGTGGTATATGCACGCATTGCTCCAATCTCTGTAACTGTTGTCAGATGGTGTTCTTTTGTGTCCATGTCTAAATTTCCGTCTTTTAAAGGGACACCAGACATTGGATTATAGGCCAGCCTAATCCAGTATGAACTTATTTTAACTTGGTGACATTTCCAAAGACTCTATTTCCAAATAAATTTGCATTTACAGGTTCTGGGTGAACATAAATTTTTTGGGGGAGGGACACTATTCAACCCAATACAGTAACATCTTAATTTGAGTGTTCCACTGAAAAACCATGCCTGAGGCAAGCATTAGAGGTAATTAATTCATTTAAGAGGTGATTCAAGGTACTGGAGCAAAGAAGTACGAAGAATTAGATGGGAAAAGGAGAGCTAACCCAGAGTGCATTCCCAAGGTGTTTATTGCTGTGGGAACCAGAGCTGTATTCTGCTGGGGGCTCTTTGAGGATCCATAAAGAATGGATGTCAGCATTGTCTTTCTGAAATTCAAGAGGCTGGGTCATTAGCTTGCCACTCCCCATCTCTCATTGGTTGAATGTTGTCTCTGGAAGTATTAACTCTTCTGTACTTGAGGGCTGAGACTGCTTTTGGATGGAGCCAGTTCCTCCAGCTTTAGAGAGTACCTTGAGGCAGAACAGCTTAGAGATGCTTGGGTGCCTGGGAACTTGAAGTGCAGCTCAAGCAACAGGTGGGGTGACATGGAGCCAATTCCTCCAGCTTTAGAGAGTGCCTTGAGGCAGAACAGCTTAGAGATGCTTGGGTGCCTGGGAACTTGAAGTGCAGCTCAAGCCACAGGTGGGCTGATGTGGCCCATTGCTAGCAAACTAGTATCTACTACGAGGGATGTATTTCACCACGCTTGCTGTGCAGGTCTGGCCCATGTCTCGTGGATTAGGTGAAATCTCTTCAATCAATTGTTCAAATCTCTCCTCTTCCTTTGTCACTGTCTCAACATTCTGAATGGGCGACATCTCTTCTCTGGGGCTCCTGCCTCCCCCATTCACTCTTTCCTGGGTGACAGCTCTCTTCTACATTTTCAAAAGGAGGAAGGAAGACATGACTCTTTGGTGCTTAAGGAAAGTTGTTAATAGAAGCAAATCGTATTTCATGTTTCTTTCCTCTTTCTCTTTTATTTTACAGATTCTATGCTTGACAGTACATATTTATTTGTCATATTATTGGTAGTGATGTTCCCTCACTCATCTGATTTAGGATTTGTCCAGGACCTTAGCCTGGTGGTTTTGTTTCTGATCCAGCTTACCTAGTGGCTGGCTGATGGAAATGATGCCCTAAGGTAACTCGGGATTTGGGCCAATAACAGTTATGTGTGGTGGGCTAGATGGCTCACTCCATGTCTCTGAAGATAGGTGCCAGGGAACAATGATAGCTTGTCATTTGGGATCTGGTCAGAGGGTCTGGTCTGGTGGAGGTCACCGTGTCAAAAGAGCACAGCTCTCCAGAGCATGTGGGTTGGCATATCTTTTCTTTAATATTTTGAGGAGAGCTGGTGCCTGTAAGGTAGAGAACATCAGGTCTTATAACATTTCTGTCTGTCCTACCTAAATATGGGACCAATAATTAGCCAAAGATAAGATGATAGCCAAAAAGTTCTGTGACTTGATGATGTTAAGAATGTTGATTGAAATGGAATATGGTGACAAGTGCAAGAAAAAATTAAAAACATATCTTGGAAACAGAACATGGCTAATTAGTTTGTTGAAAAGATGAGCAAACAAGTAGTTTATATTATAATAGGTACTAAACTTTGCTGTGGTCTTATGTTTTTAAGTGCTTTATGTTCTTTATATGGTAGAATACCCACAACAATTATGTAAGGTATTGATACTATGTCTTGTGAACCAAAATAAAATCTTAAGCCCCCCACTGACTGAACAGATGCCCTCTGGGCCAAGGGGAGCCCAGAGAAACCGTAAAACTGAATTCTAGCCATGACAGGATGGGAGGTCAGACTCGCCTCATTATGCTTCCTTCCTTGCTAACGGCCATCATGCTTTTTTCCTAAGGGCTAAACGGAAACCAATTTCATGATCCAGACCAGCATTCTTCCCTAGGAGAGAGCACCAACCACGGAGTCTTCGGAGCTTGTGCAGAGAGGGTTTTACGTCCTTGCTTCACCTTTTGACAACCAGAGGGCAGCCAGTTCTGAACACGGACCCATAGAGGGGCATGAAGCTGATTGTGCATACACATGTGTCTTCTTTCATAATATTGATGACTCCTCCTATAGCTTGTTTAATATGTGTGTTTGGCCATGTCACTTGGCATGAATTTCTGCATCCCTCTGAGCTCCCATCTCTGGGTTCTGCCTGGAGCTCTGTTTCCCGGCCTGCCAAGATAGTAACCCAAGGCTGCAACCCGTTGTGAGAAATAAAGCTCTCCTTTGCAGATTTATGAGCTGCCCACAGATAAGAAGATACACTCTGTAAAAGAATTTAAGGAGGTTTATTCTGAGCCAAATTTGAGGACCATGGCCCAGAGCCAACCCAAGAAGCCTTGAGCAAGTGGGCTTGCTGTCTTCAGTTTGGTTTTACACATTTTGGAGAGACAGGAATTACAGGTAAAGTCATAAATCAATTCATGGAAGGCATCCATTGGTTTGGCCCCTATACATGGGACGTCTCAAAGTTGGCGCTTACAAGTGACAGGTAGATTTAGGGATTCTTTAGTTGACAGTTGGCTGACAGAGTTAGGATGTTTCCAAAAGACTAGGAAAGGAATGCCTGAGTTAAGATAAGGAGCTTTACGTGATGCTATGCTGGAATAATTACTGGATTACTTTAAGTTGTAATAATTACCTGAATTATTTCAGGTTGGGAAGTGAATCACATCATAAAAACCTCTTTACTGAGCTTTATCATCTGTAGGCAGGACTCCCTTAAAAAGGAATTTTTTGGGCAAAAGAGAAGGTTAACATTCAGTGGTCAGAGTCTTGTCAATTTCTTCAGTTAACACTGTAATTTTAGAGAAAATGGTTGTGATCCAGAGAAGTTAAGTAACTTACTCGATTTCACACAGTGAGGAGGGAGCAGCCAGGGTCTGAGCACCATAGTTTGATTCCAGGGCATCTAATGTTCACTACTGTAGGGACCTAGGGCCCTTGGCCTGCAATGGTTCACTGGAAAATCACTGACATGAGGCAGATTGACTAATTGGAGAAAAAGACACATAAATTTTATTTAATGTGTATCACTGGAAACTTCAGAATGAACATTCAGCTCCTGTATGAGGTACAGAGGTCCATAAAGAATGGGGGCTTGGATTGTAGCCCAATAGGTTTTGGGAGGCAAGACAGGTTATGGCAGCGAGAAGGGAAGCTTAGCTGGCAAGGGTGGTCCTGTCATGCAGGTAAAGCCTCACAGGTAGCAGCCCTCAGAGAGAACAGATGGTAAATGTTTCTTTTCAGAACTTTAAAGTTTCAGCCTCTCAGTCAGTCTTTTGTGGATTGGGTAAGGAAAGACCTGGCTGCTCTAATGGAGATTCTCCACAGATGCAAATTTCCTCCCGCAAAAGACAGCCTTGTAAGTATCACTTCTGTGGCAGCCACCCCCAAATATGTGAAAGGAATATATTTTGGGGTGAAATATTTCTAATTTCCTATACCACTATACACCAAATTCCATGGAATCTGGAAAAAAAAGGTCAAAGAATGAGACTTTTTCTATAACTCTGAATGGGGTTGGTGTAGGTCTCTTAGCAGAGAAAGGTGCTCAGAGAAAAGGGTCCATCAGCCTCATAGACATGTCCACCAAGGTCACAGGGCACCTTTGCCCTGCACCTCCATTTTCCCAGTAGCCACCTCCCTCCCCACTGGCAGAGGAAGAATGTCACCTGGGCGTGGGTGGCTAGAGCCCAGGCTTCTCACTGAAACACAGCCATGCTGACAGGCAGGATTTTCCCAGATAAATACATCATAATGTCACTATGAGGAGGTGTTGCTGCGATTGTGTATAATGTGTCAGCCTGGCTGTTGAAAACTCTAGTCCCAGAGCCTTGTCATGCCCAATAAGTTTCGTCCAGAACTAGATAGAACTAAAACATCAGAACTAGGTAATTTAATTTTATCTTTTGCTATAGATTTCTTTCTTCCCTACCTATTTCTTCCTTCCCTCATTCATTTAGTCATCACCATTTTTTTCAAGTGTGAACTATGTATGTGTTCACAGCTGGAAACTTTATTTACTCAGCGTTCCAGTTTTGTAGCTGCTGTGTGTGACCTGCAGAATATGTAGGGGGCAAGTGGTGCATAATGTTGTATTAGGTCTCTGGGCTCCTGGCCACACCAGTGTTTGCTTCTTTAGTACTCTTCGAAGCACTGTCATAGATCTTTTTTTTTTTTTTTTTGAGACAGAGTCTTGCTTTGTTGCCCAGGCTAGAGTAAATGCTGTGGCGTCAGCCTAGCTCACAGCAACCTCAAACTCATGGGCTCAAGCAATCCTCCTGCCTCAGCCTCCCGAGTAGCTGGGACTACAGGCATGCGCCACCATGCCTGGCTAATTTTTTATATATATATATATTGGTTGGCCAATTAATTTCTTTCTATTTTTATAGTAGAGATGGGGTCTCGCTCAGGCTGGTTTTGAACTCCTGACCTTGAGCAATCTGCCCGCCTCGGCCTCCCAGAGTGCTAGGTTAAAGTATATTGGTTGGCCAATTAATTTCTTTCTATTTTTATAGTAGAGATGGGGTCTCGCTCAGGCTGGTTTTGAACTCCTGACCTTGAGCAATCTGCCCGCCTCGGCCTCCCAGAGTGCTAGGATTACAAGCGTGAGCCACCGCGCCCGGCCTTGTAATACATCTTTAAATATTTTTTCCAAGTTTTGTAAATGATATCAATGGTAATTTTTGTTCAAAACAATCTTTGGACTGTATAATTGTGTGTGTGGTGTGTGTGTATGAAATGCATCTTCATTTGCTCTTCTTTCAACTTTTAAGTATGATTTACATTTATTTCTTTCTAGTGGATGGGGCAACAGAGAGTATAGGTTTTACTATGTATGTAGGATTGCAAGGGGATTTACATACCTTACCTCATTTAATCCACATAACCTTTGTGGGAGCCATAATCAGTAATTCATCTGTCAAATTTCCATCGTACAGATAGGAAACAGGATCAGACACATGGAGAACTTTATTCAAGTCACATAAGGTCAAGGTGAGAGGGAGATGGCTAAGCTGAGAAGTTTCCATCCCACCACCCGGCTCACCAGGGGTTATTAGAGACTGGGTTGCTGGTGAGCCTGGGGTGTTCCACTCCAGGCAGTTTTCTGAGCAGAGTCTGGGAAGGCATCATGGGGGGTGTCAGATGACCTTGAAGGCCTTTGACTGTGAGGAGGAGTTCTGGAGAGGACACTTATCCCCTGGCTGAAAGAGGGGACTCTGGAGGTCTGGGCCTAGCCCTGGCTCAGTGGCCGACTGGCTGTTTGATGTTAGAGCAGGCATTTCAGTTTCCTGGGCTTCTGTTTCTTCTTCCACTAAAGGACACTCTGGGACTATGGCACTCATTTTCTACATTCTGTTCACAAATCGGAAACCACATTTTATAAAATTAATAAAGGGCCATAAGTGGGGAACTGTGGTAGGGGCCTGAACTGTGCAAAGTTATGGGCATAGTTAGAATATATGTCACCAGCCATTGTTCCTTAGCTTGCTCTCCTATAGTTGCCTAAGGGTCATAAAATTTAATAACTTTCTTCATTGCTCCCAGAGATCACATAATGCACGTGAAACCTAAGGCTGGTCTTTGTGATTATCTCCCAGGCCCTGGCTGGTGGTGGACCAGCTGACCCAGTAAGACCAGTGGCCCATACCAAGGAAGCCACTCAACTTGTCTTGTGACCTGGGCACTTATGAGTGCAAGAAGACAATTTCTACTTCCCAACCCTATGAGTTAATCCCCAGCCAATCAGAAGACCCAGTTCCCCTGCTCTTTGCCTGTCAAACTGACGGGGCTCAGTACTGCAGTCAGCTTGACCTTCAGCTCAAGACAGAGAAAACAATTTTAGGGATCTTAGAGAAAAATCTCTTAACTTTTCCCCACTAAATATGATCTTAGAGAAATCATTTCTCTAAGATTTTTCCCAGATCATGTTATTCCAGTTTGATTCCGTACGGGAAAGGGCTGGCACTATTGACAGGGATTGTGTTTCTGAGCAGTTCCTGAGATTTGAATCTGCGCAATGACAGTCACACCTGCTACTTTTGAAACAAATGAAAACAAGGCTGCCCTGGTCGTGGTCTTCTCCAGCTGCCGACCTAGGTGAAAAGGATGCTCCAGTGATCACAGTTTGTGTCTAGAAACTAAAGGGTTAAAGTCATTTCCAAATCCCACACCCTGCTCTTCTAGACTCACATGTAGTAATAGTCATATAAACTGTGGTCAAAAACAAAAATAAGATGGAAATACTTCATTCCCATAGATTTCCCACTTAGATCTAGGTCTTGTGGACTAATCTGGAAGATAGGGAGGGAGTTCAACAGTTTGGATGTGAGTTTTCCACTCTGTCAGTTTCACTTGGGCTCAGATGATAGAGTCTGTCGTTGTGCTCACTGTTTATCCCCAATGCCTGGCACGTAGTAAGTGCTCGGTGAGTGTGTGTTGATTGATGGAAAAACTGATGCTTCCCAGTCCTTCTGCAGAGAGGAATCCTTTTCAATTCAAAAAGCTGATGTAGCCCAAGTGGCCAGCAGGGAGTCTTAGTCTAGAGGTTGGCAGTGACAGAAAGGGACAAGCTGAAAGGGGCTCGCACTGCTGAGTGACCAGGTGACCAGGTGGCTGAGTGACCCTGAGCATGAGGGCACACAGGGCTGGATGTGAGGGGTTGAGCTGGCCCAGTGCAGGGGAGAGATGGGGCCAAGTGTTCTGGAGAGAGGCTTTGCCAGCCCTGTCCTCCATGGGTCCTGCCTGGTGCCAGCGTGGGCCTTGTCCCTGTGAGGCCCTCTAGGCCAGGCCATGATCCCGGTACCCTAGGTGGGGAGACATGAGGAAGGGGTCAGCTCAGATCAGCCTGGTCTGGAGAGGGCAGGAGCCGGTGGACTCTGGGAATTCTCAGCAGGGACGTAGAAGGTTCAGCTGGGAGGCTGGAGGCCGAGCAGGGCCCTGAGCTCAGAAGGGGGCAGGAAAGGATGGGGAACCTCCGTGGGGTGGGCCTGTGTCTCTTCTTAGAGACCACAGGCTGTGCCTGCCTCTCCATCACATAACACAGGGGAAGGAGGTAAGCAGTTCACCCTGAGCCCAGGACCAGAGCGGTCTGTGTTTTCTCCTGACGGTGCTCAGCTGCAGCCCTGACAGAAGGCAGGCCCTATGGACACGAGTCTGGATAAGAGGCAGCTGGGGCTGTGCACGATGGCTCTGGTAGCACTCTGGTAGGCTAGGCTGGCAGACTGTATGAGCTCTGGAGTTTGAGACCAGCCTGAGCAACAGCCAAACCCCATTTCTACCAAAAATGGAAAAAATTAGCCGGGCATGGTGGCGCATGCCTGTAGTCCCAGCTACTCGGGAGGCTGAGGCAGAAGGATCGCTTGAGCCCAGGAGTTTGAGGTTGCTGTGAGCTAGGCTGATGCCATGGAACTCTAACCTGGGCAACAGAGTGAGACCCTGTCTCAAAAACAAAACAAAACACAACAAAAAAACCCAGCTGGGTCAATGCTCTTTGTGGGAAATTGGGGGTGGTGAGGGGAGAGGGAAGAGGAGACAGCAGGAAGCAGCAGAACTGTGTCATTGGCCAGCCTACAAAGAGCTGGTGCCTGTGAATGAGGTCAATCAATAAATGACAAACCAGCCATCCCATTTAGCTAGGGCACATTTATTCAGCTGCTGGCACCTCCCTCCCGCAGTGTGAATGTGGGCTCAGGTCCAGAGAACTTGATTAGTCTTACAGGGGGCTGAGTCTGCTTTCCGCAGTTGGCGCTTTTTCATGGTTTTCTTTATCCAGGGTAGGAAACTCGAGATCCTTGTGAAGACACATGGAGGCATCCGATAGGGGTATAAATGGGAGACGATGCCCTGGGCCACATTGTCACACACGAGAGGGCCTCCAGAGTCCCCCTGTGAACAGAGGGGGCGGACTGGCTATTGCTCTCTTGGTCCCTGCCATCTCAAGCCCAACCCCCCCCACCCCCGCCACTCCAAGGAAGGGGGACGTGCATGGCCAGCATGTGGAAACCAGAGGGCAGGGCAGGTCCTGGTCCTCAGCTCCCAAGCTGTGACCTTGGACATTGTTACTGCTTCACCTCAGCCCAGGGGCCATCCTAGGTCCTCTCCCCCAGGCCCTGGGGTCCCCTCCTTATAAAGGTGTGTGGGACATTTGGCTCCAGGTCACTGTTGAAGGACACAGAGGCAGAGAAGTAGGGCTGACACCTTAGAGGACGAGCCCTTTAACCACATTGGGTGCCAGCTCCAAGGAGCCACCTGGTTATAATTACTGCAACCCCAGGAAGCACAGGTTTTTAATACCTATGAGCTGGGGTGGGGCGGAGTGTTGCAAAATTATCCTTCCAGAGGAGCAACATTTGCCAGAGATCCCCTGGGGAGCGTGCAGGCGCCCCAGCCAGCTTGGGCTGGTCCCCTCTTCTCATTCAAGAGAGAGATCACAGCCTGGTGGGAGAGGGCATTCCCCACTGCTTGGGTGTCCAGGTCCCTGGCCATCCCCAAACTTCCTTCTCCCCAGAGTCTAGGCAACAGATGCATAGTCTCACCTTAAAGGGATGCTTATTTATCTTTGGGTCCCCCACACAAATCTCGATGGCCTTGTAGAACTTGTGTTGGAAGTGTGATTTGCACACCCCATCCTCCTGCACGGTCAGCATCACCTCCTGCAGTGTGTCTGATACTTTTCCCTCCAGGTGAGTCTGGCCCCAGCCGGCCACAATGCAGTTATTCCCTGGCTTCACCTGGGCTTTGCCAATGGGCAGCTTGAGTGGTTGCACAGCTTCGGTCAGCCTGGCTTTTGTCGCTAGCTGTTGGGGAAGAGGCAAGAAAGTCCAGGTTAGCCATGGCCTCCTGGGCCTGGTGTCATCCTGGAGCTGAGCTGTCTCCCCTATCCTCTGAGGCCAAGCAGGATGGAAAGGAGGGAAAAAGGGACAGTATCATAGTTGGAGGGACAACTGGACCAGCAGAGTGAGAGTAGCAGGAATTTGCCTCACCTGCAGCAGCATGATGTCACTGGAGTAGTCCGTAGAATTATATTCTGGGGGGCAGGCAGCTCCTCTCACACGGATGTCCTGCCGCTTCTTCTCCTGCTTTTTGATGTTGAGGGCCCCCAGGGTGACATTTATGGAGCTGCACAGATAGCAGAGAGGGGCTGTGGGTGTGTGTAGAGTCATAGGGGTACAGCCCCAGAGCCATGAAGAGCAGGTGACATCCAAGTCAGGGCAGGGCTGCAGCTGAGGGGAAACCGAGGGGATGGGAGGGCCCCAGGAGGTGGGATTCCGCTAATTGCACCAGTGGTCTCAGCGGTCAGGTCCCCCTGGGGAAACAGGTGAGACTGCTTTGGTTTCCATTCTCATGCCGAACCATGTCCCCAGCTCTGCATATGACAGGAGTGGTCACTCTGGTCTTTCCTGTCCTCAGCAGTGCCTCTGACACTAACCTTCCTCTCCCCCCATGGGACTGACCCGCCCACTTTCTACATGAAGCCCTCCTGCACATGTGTCCTGATAGTGGTGTCTGTGGAGTATTTCCAGGAGGGGGTGGAAATTTCCTTCTCACCTTCCCCAACAGTGAGCGGCCGTCAGCACGAAGTCCTTGCTTATCAGGAAACCACTGCATTTTTGGTTCTCCTTCCCCTTATTTGAGATCTGAAGAAAGGCCATGTAAGGGCGAGAGTAGCGCTTGGCCTCATGGCCCCCGATGATCTCCTCTGAAAGAAAAGAGCATCTGCCTGTGTGCACCTTCTGAAGCCACTGGCTGGGCATCTGCTTTGTGGCTCCAGAAGGGCTGGGCATTTGGGAGCCGGGGGCAGCCTGGAGTTAAGAGGCACCTGGGGGAAGGGGCTTCAACTTCTTCCTCTGAAAAAGGGAAGAACATCTGGCCTTGGTCTCTAAATCTTTCTTCCACACATAGCTGGGTGTGAGCAGACCTCACAGACATAGTGAAATCCCAGAGGCTCCTGATCATTCCCTCCTGACTTTTCTTTGCTCCAAGTGAGTTTCCAAGACTCTGAGTAGTCCTGTGATAGTGAGGATAGTGCTGCCTCTACTGGACAGGAGGTAAGTTTAGGGATCTAGATATTGCCACATCCTACTTCCCAGAGCCTGACATGCAGTGGGTGTTCAATGACTGTTGGGTGGCTGCATGAAGGAATGGAGCTAGTTGGTCTCTGGATGCGGGTGGGTAGGGCAGTGCTGTGGGATTCTTGAAAGCAAGGAAGCTGGGATCTGCCACAGCAGCTCTTCTTTGGAAAGAGAGGAGATACCAAAGGCCTGGGAATAAAGATACTGGGTGGCTTGAGACTAAGCAAAGACAAAACTGTGTTCGGAGGAGAGTGACACTGCCAGTTCTGGGTCAGCGGATCTCTGAGCTTGTCTTTGACAGACAGCGAGGGAACAATGTCTTTATCCCAGACACAGGAGCAGGGCCCACCCTGTCCTCTCTAGGAGAATTTGATATTTTCTCATATCCAGGTTCCCACCCTCTGCCACGCACTTCTAGATGACAAGGGTGAGGCCTGTTGAGGGGATGGTGCCCACTGGCTCTTCCTGAGAACAGTCTGGTGCCCTGGCATTCCTGCTGAGAGCTCATCCAGCATCATGCTTGGGGGGTCTGCAGAGGGACTGGAGCTGGGATTCAGGATGTCCCAGGTAGATAGAAGGATCAGGCAGGTGCAGAAGGGGCAAGAGATCTGTGGGATGGGCTTGGGCCTCTGAGGCTGGGGACAGTCACTCACCTGCCTGTGCCCCGAGGGGCAGGAAGAAGGCCAGCAGGAGCAGGAGCAGCTGCATCAGGAAGGCTGCCCAGGTCAGAGCTGCTGGTGTGCCCTCCTTGCTCCCTTTTAGCCCCCTCGAGAGGAAGGAGGTGGGGTGGGCTCAGTGACCTCGTGTTCGCTCTGGTTTTGTGGTGTTCCATC